AATTCAAACAGGCTAGCCTCTGGATAATCTCACTTGTTAATGTTTTCCAGTAGGAACAAAGTCAGAGCTCCTGGCTACATCATGCGAACTTGGGAAGAGAATGTGTGCTTTCTTCTTACTGTACAAGGCTGTAGGCATGTTACAGTAACTTGCAGTCAGCCATGTCATAAGGATACAGTCAAATAGCGCTTTTATGCATGTTTTCCAATACTACACCAGGACAGAACAACATGACTGATATGTGTTTTTCAGGGGAAAATACCTAAAAGAAAAATATAGTAAGGAAAAAACGGACTAAATCAGCTGTACAGTATTAACCATCTTCTTCTGAAATGGGTTTAAACAAGGTCCGAGATCTCATATTAAACATACTGATTTATCATCAAGACTCAAAAGCCGATGGTTGATCTCCTGCCAGAGATCAGAAGACAAACCCACCTGGTTTCTATTTCTCTGTCAGTTCTGGGCCCAAGTGAAATTAAAAAGCACTATTGCCTGTCAGTGGTTACATCCAGAAGTAACATCCTTGCCAAAAGAAGCCTGATGACAAACAGTATTCCAAACGGATGTACATTGACACAGTATTAGTAGTTTTAGTCTTTGGATAAAAGAAGAGACTATAATTTCCTTAGTCAATCTTCATCACTGTCATGGCAGCCAAGACAAATATTGCATCAAAATGTGTGTAGTTGTGTAAGACAGATAGGTGGAGTAAAATAGATTTGCCAGGCTAGGGGATGCTAAACGGAAGTTCCATCTGTTGTTCTAGGCACAGGGAATAATACTGTTGCTTTGGATACGAAATCCATTGTGCATTGGGTTCCTCATCAGTCAGGTATTTCTTTGTGTGTAGTTATGTGTTAAACCTCACCAGAAAGATTAGTTATGCTCTCTACTGTCTTTTCATCCTCTCACAACATCCGAGGAAGACATGTTTGTTTTTGAAAAATAGATACAGGGAGGAATCATACAAAGCAGGATCAATGAGTTAGCCAGCTAAATATTCAGAAATAACTTTTTATTTTTTAGAAAGTTAAGCTTGAAATGGGTATGGTCTACTTGACTCAACAACCAAAAACCCATACTTATGTTAAGCTTTCTTAATGAATCAGACATTTTTTGGGGTTGTTTCTCAAAGTAAGTTGGCTAGATCATTAATTATCCTATGTAGTATACCTCTCTGGTCACTTAGAAAGTAAATAGAGATATCAACAGCTGCCATTTAACACATTTTCTCTCTGGCTCTTGTAAAGAATGCTATTAAATATAATTTCTCCCACCAAAGAGATGGGAACATTTGAGAGATCATTTATAACATGAGCAGAGCCTTAGATTCCTCTACTGGGTAATTAACCAATCTGCACAATACATCTTAAGCTGCATTAGAACATCTGCCTAGATACATCAATGTCAAACCTGTTGTTACCTAGTGTTCTATTTAATAGCCCGGCAGGAGTCTTCTCAGGATTCAAATTGACCATGTGGCAATCTTACAGCCAATCCATCATGTTCAAGCAAAAATAATAACTTTTCATCGTAATTCGGATTCCAAGTTTTAATGATTCAATGACGGTAAATTCTTCTGCGTTCCCACCTGCTGAACAGTACTTTAACAGTCAACATGTTGCTGCTGTGTACATACGGTAGAGCTGTCATAGAAGGCATGACAAGCAGTCGACGGGTCTCAAAGCCAGCTACTGCTTAGTAGCATGAAAATCTGTTGAGAAATGTCCTACATGACCCTGCACTTGATGGTCCTTTGGGGACAGTGGCCCCAACGCAGAGGTCAGTGACTTTTGTAACCAAAAACCAAGGGATGCTAGGCAATGTGACTACTCCAAAGTAATCTTTAACACACATGCTGTCTCTGAGGGGTGCTATGGAAAGTTGGCCACAGCCAGTCGACCTTCCTGAAAACTATAAGGTAACCCGCTGTTTTTATAAAGGCTTTTACGTTGGTTGAGGGGGAAAGGTCACAGATCTGTTTATTTTTATCGCATTGTATCTATTCAGCATATCTGATGCCGCCCACATACACATCTCAATTCATCCATTCTGACCAGATTTTGCTGACACAGACCTTTGCAACCAGATAATCACTGGTAAGCTAATTTAGTTCTAACTTTCCATGGTTGAAGAGTACATTTATAAAGCTTTCCTGCTGCCCATAAATAACGGACATTGTTAAAACGTATTCTAGCATTCACAGCTGAAGAATGAACGAGGATCTTCTATTGCAACCAGTGCTTTTAAGCAATTCAATCAAATACATGGTTTAGAATTGAAGACAGGTGTAGGGATGAAAATGGGTTTAATCTGGATCCTGTTTTCTGTGTTCCATTTTGTTTTCAATATCTGAGAGTTTAAAACCCTTTCATGTCGTGAAAAACCTGTTCCCTATAAAGTGTGTTTTTCACATTTGTTTCTTTCTGAACATAATAAGATATACTCTCAATTACTCACAAGCAACATTTTCCAGATTAGATGGGTCTTTAAGAGGAAAACTGTTGCCGTTTGCCATTGAGTTTTTATTTTACATATTTTAATTCATTTGTCTTCTGATTGCTCTCGAAGAGTTTCATGTGTAAAATATATTGTGTATATGAGGTCCAAAAGTATTTGGACAGTGACACATTCTTGGTTGTTTTGGCTCTGTACACCAGCACTTTTAAATGATACAATGACTATGAGTTTAAAGTACCGACTGTCAGCTTTAATTTGAAGGCATCCATATCAGGTGAACTGCTTAGAAATTACAACACTTTTTGTACATAGTCTCCTCATTTTAGAGAACCAAAAGTATTTGGACAAATTAATTTATACGTTTATTAAAGTAGTCAAAAGTTTAGCATTTGGTCCCATATTCCTAGCACGCAATGACTACATCAAGCTTGGGACTACAAACTTGTGAGATGCATTTGCAGTTTGTTTTGGTTGTGTTTCAGATTATTTTGTGCCCAATAGAATTTAATGGTAAAAATGTATTGCGTCATATTGGAGTCACTTTTATTGTAAATAAGAATACAATATTTTTCTGAACACTTCTACGTTAATGTGGATGCTACCATGATTACGTATAATACTAAATGAATTGTGAATAATGATGAGTAAGAAAGTTACAGAGACACAAAGATCATACCCCCAAGACATGCTAACCTCTCACCATTCCCAATAACAGGGGAGGACGTTAGCATTTTTTGTGGGGTATGATATTATAATAATATGCCTCTGTAACTTTCTCACTGTGGCTAGGTCAGCTAATGACCACTCTGCAGAGCTGCCTCCAGGACAAGATTCATCCCAATAAATGCCAGCCTGCTCTTATTCATGGCATGAATCGTTAAGCTATTTCAAATGTACAAAAGCCCTATTAATATCCTTTTGATATGTGTTTTCTCTAACATAAAACTTCCTCACTCGCCTGCACTGCGTAGCTTTGAATAAGTAGGGATTCCCCTAAGGGGCTTTTTTCCCCCCTTTAAAAGTTACCCTCAGCAGCTGGTATTAGTCAAGATGAGCTTCCATTGTTGTCCTTTTAGCTGCATAGCTCTCATGAAAGGGAAACATTAAATGCCCAGTTAGGGACATGCAACCGATGTAGTTTATTCCAGCTTCCAGAGATTCAGTACCAGCCTTTTGAAAATCTACCCTGCAGAGGCCATTTTCATTTGCCCAGGCCCCAGATAGTAACACTGTACTGTATAGTAGAATTAGAAACTTGCTTTGGCAATGACACATTGTTGTTGGATTACTTTACCTTTAACCCATTCAACTGAAATGGAGTATTAATGCAGGTATACAATATGATGATACTGTATGTGTCTGCAGAAACTCCACAGAATAGTAAACCTACAGCCAAACAGTTTTTTATCGAGATGACTAAAATGACAGCCTTTCAATAGCAACCTTTCAATTTCATCTAAACTCTCCCTTTCAATTTAACTGTGATTTATGCACCCATCATGGAAACCATCTGCAAAAATGGCAGGGTTGGCATTCCATGCCGAAACCCTTCCCTATTTTCAGTGGCCCAGAGAAGGTTGTGAGGGTGGGATTCTAAATGATCTGCCATGAGGGAGTTTTCAAATTTAGGGAGGTGACAAGTGATGGACATAAACCTGGGAGTCAATGACACAAAGAGACCTGAAGACCTTTCATGGGACGGTCATACGAGTTCCGTCTCTCCCCCTGAGTGAGGTAGGGGTCTCTCATTGCAGGGCAGCTTATTATGGTGAAAGGGTTCAGTGCTAGGACTTCATTAAGCCCCTCTATTGTTAACATCTGGGTGAGAAAGAATGGGTCTTTCTCTGGTAAACTGTGCCCCTGCTTTACAAGAGGATTTTATTACGCTACGCCGTTGACATTGGCAGCTAGTGGCACACCTGGCAATGGAAAACCTTCAGCTGTTTCAGTCACAGGAGATCAATCAAAGCAGCCTGTTTCCCTGAAGCCTTAGATTTCATCCTGAAAGGGGGAGGTGGGGGACTTACAATAAGCAGTGTGTGACTGGTCTTATTCTAGAGCCCAGAGACTCGGCAGGCAAGTACTTCCCTTTGAGAGCTTCCTGACCTCTCAGCTCACACAGTCCCTCGTAACACTGTCAGACTAGTCCAGACAAAACATTAGCTCACACTTGAGTCCCCAGTGAGCCAGCTAGTCACTGACACTCCCGTCCCTTCCATATGCCACTCTCTCATCGCCTTTTTAAATCTCTCTCTATCGCTCGCTCCCTCTCTCTCTCTCTCTCTCTCTCTCTCTCTCTCTCTCTCTCTCTCTCGCTGACTATCTTCTCTCTGTCTCCATCCACTCCCTGCTAGGGATGCGGTTGCCACGGCAACTGCTGAGTCACTGCCAGCTCTCTGCTCTCAGCTGCCGTCCTCTAATATGATTCTTTCAGCGAGGGGGGGGTGGCCAGGGTCTCAGTCATCCACCCTGTCTGCTTCGTGAGCGTATTGATCAGAGAACTCCACCATGTATATTTGTTGCAGTCGAGCATAAAGATCCATCACTGCGGGTGTCAGAGCCAGAGGATCCTGGGGGAGCTCTACAGGCCAAACGGGAGCGTTTCGGATGGGCAACATCCCCACCACGGTGAAGCACTGCCTGAGCTATGAACAACTCATCCAGGATTATCCGTGGCTAGGAAGCCGGCTGCAGGAGGAGAAGGTAAGGGTCATTATCGTGCTTTCTTCCCTCTGCAAGCATGACACATATACAGAGGGAGGGTGCAGGGTGGAGACATATGAAAGGACAGAGAGGGGGCATCACCCTGGGATGGCAGAAACAGGCACTATACTAACTGGCGTCAAACTGTGCAAATGCTCTATTTCTAAATCAATTAAATTGTCGTGATAAGAAATAATTGTTATGCCTACTGTTTAATGTTGTACCACTGTTGACTTGCGGTCTAAAAGCAGGACCCTGTCCTCCCAATGATTTATAGATACACTAGATTACTGATAGGGGGCGCTGTGTTGAATCCACCGCGCCAGTGGCAGCCCCACTGTTGTAAAAAACATTTTGGAAGCTATAGAAATGAATTTATTAATGTCTACATTCGTTTTTTTCAAGTTTATTCCATTACAGACACCTTAATGCATACTTTTAAATTATATTATGTGAGATAAACATACAAATAAAACAAATCCTTAAAGTATAATTTTGAGAGATTACTAATGTTATTATCCTCACTACAACAACAAAAATACTTAAATACAGTGGCTTGCGAAAGAATTCACCCCCTTGGCATTTTTCCTATTTTGTTGTCTTACAAACTGGAATTTAAATGGATTTTTGGGACGTTTGTTTCATTTGATTTACACAAGATGCAAAATATTTTATTTGTGAAACAAACAACAAATAAGACAAAAAAACAGAACTTGAGCGTGCATAACTATTCACCCCCCCCAAAGTCAATACTTTGTAGAGCCACCTTTTGCAGCAATTACAGATGTAAGTCTCTTGAGGTATGTCTCTATAAACTTGGCACATCTAGCCACTGGGATTTTTGCCCATTCTTCAAGGCAAAACTGTTCCAACTCCTTCAAGTTGGATGGGTTCCGCTGGTGTACAGCAATCTTTAAGTCATACCACAGATTCTCAATTGGATTGAGGTCTGGGCTTTGACTATGCCATTCCAAGACATTTAAATGTTTCCCCTTAAATCACTTGAGTGTTGCTTTAGCAGTATGCTTAGGGCCATTGTCCTGCTGGAAGGTGAACCTCCTTCCCAGTCTCAAATCTCTGGAAGACTGAAAGAATTTCCCTGTATTTAGCGCCATCCATCATTCCTTAAATTCTGACCAGTTTCCCAGTCCCTGCAGATGAAAAACATCCCCACGGCATGATGCTGCCACCACCATGCTTCACTGTGGGGATGGTGTTCTCGGGGTGATGAGATGTGTTGGGTTTGCGCCAGACATAGCGTTTTCCTTGATGGCCAAAAAGCTCAATTTTAGTCTCATCTGACCAGAGCACCTTCTTCCAAATTTTTTAATAATGGATTTAATAGTGTTCTGTGGGATGTTCAATGTTTCTGATATTTCTTTATAACCCAACCCTGATCTGTACTTCTCCACAACTTTGTCGATAATCTGTTTGGAGAGCTCCTTGGTCTTCATGGTGCCGCTTGCTTGGTGGTGCCCCTTGCTTAGTGGTGTTGCAGACTCTGGGGCCTTTCAGAACCGGTGTATATACAGTTGAAGTCGGAAGTTTACATACACTTAAGTTGGAGTCATTAAAACTCTTTTTCAACCACTCCACAAATGTCTTGTTAACAAACTATAGTTTTGGCAAGTGGGTTAGGACATCTACTTTGTGCATGACACAAGTCATTTTTCCAACAATTGTTTACACACAGATTATTTCACTTATAATTCACTGTATCACAATTCCAGTGGGTCAGAAGTTTACATACACTAGGTTGACTGTGCCTTTAATCAGCTTGGAAAATTCCAGAAAATGATGTCATGGCTTTAGAAGCTTCTGATAGGCTAATTGACATCATTTGAGTACATGTGGATGTATTTCAAGGCCTACCTTCAAACTCAGTGCCTCTTTGCTTGACATCATGGGAAAATGAAAAGAAATCAGCCAAGACCTCAGAAAAAAAATTGTAGACCTCCACAAGTCTGGTTCAACCTTGGGAGCAATTTCCAAACGCCTGAAGGTACCACGTTCATCTGTACAAACAATAGTACGGAAGTATAAACACCATGGGACCATGCAGACGTCATACTGCTCAGGAAGGAGACGTGTTCTGTCTCCTAGAGATGAACGTACTTTGGTGCGAAAAGTGAAAATCAATCCCAGAACAACAGCAAAGGACCTTGTGAAGATGCTGGAGGAAACAGGTACAAATTTATCTATATCCACAGTAAAACGAGTTCTATACCGACATAACCTGAAAGGCTGCTCAGCAAGGAAGAAGCCACTGCTCCAAAACCGCCATGAGAAAGCCAGACTATGGTTTTCAATTGCACATGGGGACAAAGATCTTTGGAGAAATGCCCTCTGGTCTGATGAAACAAAAATAGAACTGTTTGGCCATAATGACCATCGTTATGTTTGGAGGAAAAAGGGGGTTGCTTGCAAGCCAAAGAACATCATCCCAACCGTGAAGCACGGGGTTGGCAGCATCATGCTGTGGGGGTGCTTTGTTGTAGGAGGGACTGGTGCACTTCACAAAATAGATGGCATCATGAGGAAGGAAAATTATGTGGATATATTGAAGCAACATCTCAAGTTATTGGAGTGGCCATCACATAGCCCTGACCTCAATCCTATAGAAGATTTGTGGGCAGAACTGAAAAAGTGTATGCGAGCAAGGAGGCCTACAATCCTGACTCCGTTACACCAGCTCTGTCAGGAGGAATGGGCCAAAATTCACCCAACTTATTGTGGGAAGCTTGTGGAAGGCTACCTGAAATGTTTGACCCAAGTTAAACAATTTAAAGGCAATGTTACCAAATACTAATAGAGTGTATGTACACTTCTGACCCATTGGGAATGTGATGAAAGAAATAAAAGCTGAAATAAATAATTCTCTCTATTATTATTTCACATTCTTAAAATAAAGTGGTGATCCTAACTGACCTAAGACAGGGAATTTTTTACTAGGATTAAATGTCAGGAATTGTGAAAAACTGAGTTTAAATGTATTTGGCTAAGGTGTATGTAAACTATACTGAGATCATGTGACAGATCATGTGACACTTAGATTGCACACAGGTGGACTTTATTTAACTAATTATGTGACTTCTGAAGGTAATTGGTTGCACCAGATCTTAATTAGGGGCTTCATGGCAAAGGGGGTGAATATACCACTTTTCCGTCATTTATTTTTTATACTTTTTTGAAACAAGTTATTTTTTTCATTTCACTTCACCTATTTTGTGGATGTCCATTACCTGAAATCCAAATAAAAATCAATTTAAATTACAGGTTGTAATGGAATAAAATAGGAAAAACACCAAGGGGGATGAGTACTTTTGCAAGGCACTGTACATGTAATTTTGTTCTTGAAACATTTAATTGAAATACTGCAGAATTTCATTAATTCGTTCCTCCTCCACCGTCTATCTGAAGTCTGTGTATTGTCAGATAGAGTGCATCAAGTCAACACCCTGTTACTTCCTATCTTCCTCTCATATTTTCCCTTTATCTTTTTACAACTGTTAGATTAGTTAGTCAGGTATAATATCAAAAAAACCTGTATTATTGTTGTTGGTGGACTGCATTTGTTGTCAACTGTAAAATCGACTGTTGATACTATTAGAAACTAAAAACTGACACACTTTACACGTTTCATGCATTATTAAAGTGCCAGCAGTGATCTGAAAATCAAAGTGTTCTGGGCTTAAAGAGCGACTGCCCCTAAAAAACAACGAATCCGTTTGAAAACGGCCTATGTGGCATCCATGTGAGTAGGAATTATTTATTCTAGTGTCAAAATTGACTACAAAGTGTAAATAGGATAATTTTGGTCGTAAAGTCAGTCTCGCCTAAAACAGAGTTTGGAACCTCAGTGTGTCACAACGAGTAAATTAAGGTTGGGTTTGGATTGCAATTATGTCAACAAATCATGCCCCCTTTTTCCAAGCTCCACACGCAACTCGCCCCTCAGCCCACTTCGCTTCCCTTTATTGAATGGGGCTCCTGTTGTTCATCGCCCCCCAACCAACGTGTTCAAAGGATCACGGCTGTTCAAGACTGAACAGCCCTATATGGATTGACCATGCAATGCATGGTTCCAGAAGGATGCACAGCCAACAACTATGGTTTGTATGCCCTGCCGAAGGACCCTATCATGCGCACTAGGTGGTTGGAGTTCGTTGCTCCCCAGTGGTGGTGAGTATACTGGTAGCTAGACACTAGACTGCTGGTTATGTATCTGGTTATGTATATTTTGATAATCATTATCACTATCATCGCTAGCCTAGCTGACGTTCTCTAGCTAGCTAACTACCTACCTAACTAACTAGATAGCTGGCTACTGTTAGCCTACCTCAATACAACTCGGGTCTTGGCAATAACATTTCGAAAGAAGACAAATAATTAGTAGGAAAACCTTTTGTCATGATTGTGATGTCACCAGATTGACTTTAGATGCAGTATAACTTTACCCAGCTAACTAAGATCGAAGACACAACAGTATTTTAGCTAGCTAACATTAGCATTGCTAGCTATTTTTGACAAACTTCGCTAGTAACAGTAATGGCAACATTGCCATCTCTCTAGAGTAAATTTGACGACATGTTAGAAATTGCGTAATTCAAATCTGGTATTGGAATAAGAATCAAGGATCTTCAATCCAAGCTTAATTTATTATATGCAAAATGTATGTATGATAAGTGATGAAGGTTTCGTATACAGTGATCCCTCGACACTTCGCGGTTCACTTATCGCGGATTCGCTATTTCGCGGATTTTCATAAGCATTTTTTTTTTTTGGTGCATTGTGCTCTGCATTCTGATTCTAAAAACTTCCCGCTTATGTATCAAACATCTACGAATGTGCATCATTTTTCGTCTCGTGCAGTTATGTGTAGTACAAAACAGCTTGGCAATTTACATTAATGGCAAATATTTTATTTGAAATCCCTACCATATGTGAGAAACGGCCTGACGACAAAGCACCTGCGGAGGGCCCAAACGGCGGAGATGCACCTACTCGTAAGTAACTTCTGGACTGCTAGGAAGGTAAAGTAGAGCCGTTGCTCGCCATTACGGAATCAATGAATCTTCCGTTCGTTACATAAAGAAGGAGGAAAAAAACATAAGGACGACAGCAGCAGTCAATGAGGAGGAAGGACTAACGCTTGGTCGCTTAGCAACCATGGTGCGAATGGCCACTGAACTTAAGCGAGTAGCTGAGGAATGGGACCCTTTGATGAGCCGTTCATTACAGTTCTCCAACGTAATCGATGGTGGCATGTCGGTGTACAAGGATCTTTTTGCAAAGAAGAAAAAAGAGCGACAACAGCTGCCTATCACTATGTTCTTCTCCCGAACAAACACACCTGCACCGCGGGCTTCAGAAGAAGAGAACACTGCAGAGCGCAGTCAGGATGCAGCGGCCCAGTCTGAAGAGCAGTGAAACGGCCTACACGTGAGTCACTGTATTTGTATACATGTAATAGTTGCTAATTGTAAAAAAAAAAAGTTTTATATTTCGCGGATTTCACTTATCGCGGGTCATTTTCGGAACGTAACCCCCGCGATAAACGAGGGATTACTGTATACGGGTCCGCTGAAATACCACGCAGGGCACTCAGAGAACTAAACTATTGTTTACAGGTTCTTTCTCAAATACTCTGACAGAGAGTTCCCACCTCTTCTGTTGGCCAATCAGAGTAAAGGACTGAGTGTGGTTTAGACTTTACTCAGCCAATCCGTTGGCGCACGGGTTAGTCCCAAACCCTTGGCGCTCCACCCCTTGGCGCTCCACCGTTCCCAGGCATAAGTTGCTATCATAATAACCTGTAGAGTCAGCACCCAAAAGACACCCTTCCAATCTGTACTCTATGTACCTACGTTCAAGGACGGTTTCACAGACAACAAAGAGAGAGTGTTCGTATCTGTAAGAAATACAAGTCTTATCTGTCCTACCCCCTAACGTTCCTTACATGAATCACAGCCTGTTATGTGAAACAATTTATATCAGTATAGTACAAACCTATGCTTATCATTAATGCATTCCTTCTAAGTTATTCATCACATACAGATCCAATTATGAGAAAAATAGAACCCAACAGACATCATAATATGGCAAAGTTGTTTCCAACAAATGTTTTGCCTACTTTAGCATTGCCATCGTGTTTCCATGACCCTCTTCTTTAGTTTAATGTAGACTAAACAATCACATTAGCCTCCGAGGTGCAACCCATGTCTAGTGCACAAATACAGTAAATATTGGATGCAGCTATGATAGTACTAGGTAACTCATGTCAGTCTACAACAGTGTACTAACTAGCAGCAACAAACTCAAACCAACCCTGGGCCATAGCAAAACATGCATAGTGTAACGGCGTTACCGGCCTGAATCTAATCCAATCTGGAGCAGTCAGTCTACATCTGTAAAGCATCCAAACGAGATTGTTATTTCTCTAGCTATGTTTATAACTGAGGGATGATGACAATCATTGACCTTGTTTTTCTGTTAGACAAAATGCACAGTTGGTCATGAACGGATGCCAGGACCTACCAGAAAGAGCAAAGGTGGGTACCATAACATGTCTAGCAATGGGACTGCAATGGTTTAGCGACCTCCAAAAATAATTTAATTCACTGTTCTCTTGCTATTTTCACAGCTTGTCAGGCAAGACCTCAGAATAAAAGTGTGTAATGCGACACAAGTACCCGTGTGACACCTCATTCATTGTTTCTAGTCTCCCTCGACTCCTATGAAAAGGACAGACCATCATGAGGCCTCTGATTGTGACCCGAGTTGCTGCCCTGATGACACAGATGACTTCATCAACACAGACAAGTAATGTGAAAAGTTGTATTCAAAAACACTTGATAAAATAGTAGGCTAATTCCCCAGCCAAGCAGATACAACTAGTAGAGTCATTTTGGTTGTGAAGTGCATTAGCAAAAAGCTTTGCCCTTTCTTTAGAACAAAATGTAATTTACCACTTGGCTGTCTATTATATCATACTGTTACAGGCCCTCCCAGTCAACACCACCTCATGAGATTGCCTGCTGCACTTGTTCAAGAGATGTCCAGTTTGCAGCCGGACATGCAGCATAAAGAACACCAGCAAGAGGGCCCCCTATCAGCATCATGCAGACATGCCCTCGCTGTGAGCACTCCTATGAATGGAACAGTTAGCCACATATTGCCAAGTATCCGACCAGCAACCTTCACCTGTCAGCGGCAACAGCTTTCACAGGCTCATAATTTGTACTAATACAGAAGGTAACCCACTTCATTACTTGGATACATTTGATAACTCAATTGTGAAACAAAATGTATGTAAACTGATATTATTTGTTGCTTATTTTCTATAATGTCCAGGGCATAACCTAGCCTGGTTGAACCAGCCTGATTGCTGTGTTCACCATTCTTTTTCATATAGAAATAGAAATGTGAACACAGCGATCAGGTTGGTTCCACCAGGCTGATCATAACCACCATTAATAATGTAATCAGTGCTCTGTGTGTGTGTGTGTGTGTGTGTGTTTGTGTGTGACTGACCAGTATCTTTGATGAGGGGCCAGGAGCTGATCTACGCTGCCATGCCTATCAATGGGGCTCTGGCAAAGGCCTCACCTCCAGCCTCACCTCTTGCCTGCTCACCAACGGTCGTCGATGGGGAGAACAGAATTAGGTAGGTTTAGTGTGACCTGCACAAACTTCAACATAGTACCTGTTTGTGTGTCAGATATTACCTATCCTAACTGCCATTGGTAATAGAACAGTGACTATGTGTTCACAGAAACATGTATGGAGCCAGCACATGGAGACTTGCAAGATGACGTGATGAAGTCCAGACAGACAGACGGGCTTGATACTGGTGTCTCTGAATGGAGAGAGACCTGGCACTCGGCATAAAATGTTTACTAGACACAACTTTTACTTGTATTGTCTTTTTTATTATTGAATTTAATGGTATCAGTCAGTATGCGGAAGGAGAAACCCTGTGGTTTTTTTCTCACCAGGATGAGGGAACTCCTGTTGTATATGGGACACCACACAGGAAGGTATGACTACTCTGACATGTTTGCCAAGGTATCCCCATTATCACAAGACAAAATGCCGATAGGAAAGGTATCTGTATCAGCTAGGAATGACAATGAAAGATAAAAGGTGCACATTGTTATATTGGCAGAACACTGCTTCTATGGTATTATGTACAGGGTTGTTTATTCTACATGGACCTGTTACTACATTTGAAAGATATCAAAACACTTAGTTTAGAATATCTACATAAATTCAGCAATTGCATTCTTCTCATATTATTCTGTAGGCTACTTACCTATTCAAAGCTTCCTCCGGCATCTCACCATACATCTTCCTGTCGTTATTGAGTTCAAACTGCAGGATGTTTGTTTGTTGTGATTGAGTGGGGAGAAACAGCTGTGGGCAAGGTTCTGACAGATGGGTGTGTCTTGGTGGTGGCAAGGATACACCCAAGAAACACCCACATCAAACCACACCCCCAAGCCAACTCGCATTCGGCTTCTGTCATGGCCGCCAGCATTTCTTGAGGAGCAAGCCAAAAAACGAGGCCAAATCAGCAGGTGTAGTTCCCCTTTTACGGTTGTAACACATTATTGGACAGGAGAAACAGAGTTAAGTGGGAAAATAGTGCTTTGTTAGAGTTTGTGACAACAGATATAACATTTGTTTTCAGTGGTGGAAAATGTACCCAATTGTCATACTTGAGTAAAAGTAAAGATACCTTTATACAACATGACAAAATTAAAAGTCACCCAGTAAAATCCTACTTGAGTAAAAGTCTAAAAGTATTAGGTTTTAAATATACTTAAGTATCAAAAGTAAAAGTATAAATAATTTTTACTTCCTTATATTAAAACCTCTTAAGGATCTGACCCTTTTTTTTCAATTTTCGCCTAAAATGACATACCCAAATCTAACTGCCTGTACAGTCGTGGTCAAAAGTTTTGAGAATGACACAAGTATTGGTCTCCACAAAGTTTGCTGCTTCAGTGTTTTTATATATTTTTGTCAGATGTTACTATGGTATACTGAAGTATAATTACAAGCATTCCATAAGTGTCAAAGGCTTTTATTGACAATTACATTAAGTTTATGCAAAGAGTCAATATTTGCAGTGTTGACCCTTCTTTTTCAAGACCTCTGCAATCCGCCCTGGCATGCTGTAAATTAACTTCTGGGCCACATCCTGACTGATGGCAGCCCATTCTTGCATAATCAATGCTTGGAGTTTGTCAGAATTTGTGGGTTTTTGTTTGTCCACCCGCCTCTTGAGGATTGACCACAAGTTCTCAATGGGATTAAGGTCTGGGGAGTTTCCTGGCCATGGACCCAAAATTTCGATGTTTTGTTCCCCGAGCCACTTAGTTATCACTTTTGCCTTATGGCAAGGTGCTCCATCATGCTGGAAAAGGCATTGTTCGTCACCAAACTGTTCTTGGATGGTTGGGAGAAGTTGCTCTCGGAGGATATGTTGGTACCATTCTTTATTCATGGCTGAGTTCTTAGGCAAAATTGTGAGTGAGCCCACTCCCTTGGCTGAGAAGCAACTCCACACATGAATGGTCTCAGGATGCTTTACTGTTGGCATGACACAGGACTGATGGTAGCGCTCACCTTGTCTTCTCCGGACAAGCTTTTTCCCAAACAATCGGAAAGGGGATTCATCAGAGAAAATGACTTTACCCCAGTCCTCAGCAGTCCAATCCCTGTACCTTTTGCAGAATATCAGTCTGTACCTGATGTTTTTCCTGGAGAGAAGTGGCTTCCTCGCTGCCCTTCTTGACACCAGGCCATCCTCCAAAAGTATTTGTCTCACTGTGCTTGCAGATGCACTCACACCTGCCTGCTGCCATTCCTGAGCAAGCTCTGCACTGGTGGTGCCCTGATCTCGCAGCTGAATCAACTTTAGGAGACGGTCCTGGCGCTTGCTGGACTTTCTTGGGCGCTCTGAAGCCTTTTTCACAACAATTGAACCTCTCTCCTTGAAGTTCTTGATGATCCGATAAATGGTTGATTTTGGTGCAATCTCTGTTATCAGTATAAAATACCCTGTCCACAACCTCAAACAGTCACACTCCAAACTCCACTATGGCCAAGACCAAAGAGCTGTCAAAGGACACCAGAAACAAATTGAGACCTGCAACAAGGCTGGGAAGACTGAATCTGCAATAGGTAAGCACTTGTTTGAAGAAATCAACTGTGGGAGCATTATTAGGAAATGGAAGACATACAAGACCACTGATAATCTCCCTCGATCTGGGGCTCCACGCAAGATCTCACCCCGTGGGGTCAAAATATCACAAGAACGGTGAGCAAAAAATCCCAGAACCACACCGGGGGACCTAGTGAATGACCTGCAGAGAGCTGGGACCAAAGTAACAAAGCCTACCATCAGAAACACACTACGCCGCCAGGGACTAAAATCCTGCAGTGCCAGACGTGTCCCCCTGCTTAAGCCAGTACATGTCCAGGCACGTCTGAAGTTTGCTAGAGTGCATTTGGATGATCCAGAAGAGGATTGGGAGAATGTCATATGGTCAGATGAAACCAAAATATTACTTTTTGGTAAAAAACTCAACTCGTCGTGTTTGGAGGACAAAGAATGCTGAGTTGCATCCAAAGAACACCATACCTACTGTGAAGCATGGGGGTGGAAACATCATGCTTTGGGGCTGTTTTTCTGCAAAGGGACCAGGACGACTGATTTGTGTAAAGGAAAGAATGAATGGGGCCATGTATCGTGAGATTTTGAGTGAAAACCTCCTTCCATCAGCAAGGGCATTGAAGATGAAACGTGGCTGGGTCTTTCAGCATGACAATGATCCCAAACACACCGCCCGGGCAACGAAGGAGTGGCTTCATAAGAAGCATTTCAAGGTCATGGAGTGGCCTAGCCAGTCTCCAGATCTCAACCCCATAGAAAATCTTTGGAGGGAGTTGAAAGTCCGTGTTGCCCAGCGACAGCCCCAAAACATCACTGCTCTAGAGGAGATCTGCATGGAGGAATGGGCCAAAATACCAGCAACAGTGTGTGAAAACCTTGTGAAGACTTACAGAAAACGTTTGACCTGTGTCATTGCCAACAAAGGGTATATAACAAAGTATTAAGAAACTTTTGTTATTGACCAAATACTTATTTTCCACCATAATTTGCAAATAAATTCATTAAAAATCCTACAATGTGATTTTCTGGATTTTTTTTTCTCATTTTGTCTGTCATAGTTGACGTGTACCTATGATGAAAATTACAGGCCTCTCTCATCTTTTTAAGTGGGAGAACTTGCACAATTGGTGGCTGACTAAATACTTTTTTTCCCCACTGTATATTAAAACCTCTTAAGGATCTGACCCTTTTTTTTCAATTTTCGCCTAAAATGACATACCCAAATCTAACTGCCTGTACAGTCGTGGTCAAAAGTTTTGAGAATGACACAAGTATTGGTCTCCACAAAGTTTGCTGCTTCAGTGTTTTTATATATTTTTGTCAGATGTTACTATGGTATACTGAAGTATAATTACAAGCATTCCATAAGTGTCAAAGGCTTTTATTGACAATTACATTAAGTTTATGCAAAGAGTCAATATTTGCAGTGTTGACCCTTCTTTTTCAAGACCTCTGCAATCCGCCCTGGCATGCTGTAAATTAACTTCTGGGCCACATCCTGACTGATGGCAGCCCATTCTTGCATAATCAATGCTTGGAGTTTGTCAGAATGAGTGTGTTTTTGTTTGTCCACCCGCCTCTTGAGGATTGACCACAAGTTCTCAATGGGATTAAGGTCTGGGGAGTTTCCTGGCCATGGACCCAAAATGTCGATGTTTTGTTCCCCGAGCCACTTAGTTATCACTTTTGCCTTATGGCAAGGTGCTCCATCATGCTGGAAAAGGCATTGTTCGTCACCAAACTGTTCTTGGATGGTTGGGAGAAGTTGCTCTCGGAGGATATGTTGGTACCATTCTTTATTCATGGCTGAGTTCTTAGGCAAAATTGTGAGTGAGCCCACTCCCTTGGCTGAGAAGCAACTCCACACATGAATGGTCTCAGGATGCTTTACTGTTGGCATGACACAGGACTGATGGTAGCGCTCACCTTGTCTTCTCCGGACAAGCTTTTTCCCAAACAATCGGAAAGGGGATTCATCAGAGAAAATGACTTTACCCCAGTCCTCAGCAGTCCAATCCCTGTACCTTTTGCAGAATATCAGTCTGTACCTGATGTTTTTCCTGGAGAGAAGTGGCTTCCTCGCTGCCCTTCTTGACACCAGGCCATCCTCCAAAAGTATTTGTCTCACTGTGCTTGCAGATGCACTCACACCTGCCTGCTGCCATTCCTGAGCAAGCTCTGCACTGGTGGTGCCCTGATCTCGCAGCTGAATCAACTTTAGGAGACGGTCCTGGCGCTTGCTGGACTTTCTTGGGCGCTCTGAAGCCTTTTTCACAACAATTGAACCTCTCTCCTTGAAGTTCTTGATGATCCGATAAATGGTTGATTTTGGTGCAATCTTACTAGCAGCAATATCCTTGCCTGTGAAGCCCTTTCTGTGCAAAGCAATGATGACGGCACGTGTTTCCTTGCAGGTAACCATAGTTAACAGAGGAAGAACAATCATTTCAAGCACCACCCTCCTTTTAAAGCTTCCAGTCTGTTATTCTAACTCAATCAGCATGACAGAGTGATCTCCAGCCCTGTCCTCGTCAACACTCTCACCTGTGTTAACGAAAGAATCACTGACATGATGTCAGCTGGTCCTTTTGTGGCAGGGCTGAAATGCAGTGGAAATGTTTTTGGGGGATTAAGTTCATTTTCATGGAAAAGAGGGACTTTGCAATTCATCTGATCACTCTTCATAACATTCTGGAGTATATGCAAATTGCCATCATAAAAACTGAGGCAGCAGACTTGGTGAAAATTAATATTTGTGTCATTCTCAAAACTTTTGACCACGACTGTAGTTCAGGCCCTGAAGCAAGGATATGCATTTTCTTGATACCATTTGAAAGGAAACACTTTGAACTTTGTGGAAATGTGAAATTAATGTAGGAGTATATAACACATTAGATCTGGTAAAAGATAATACAAACAAAAAAACATGTGTTTTCTATTTATTTATTTTTATCATCTTTGAAATGCAAGAGAAAGGCAACAATATAATATTGCAGTTTAGGTGCAATTTAGATTTTGGACACTAGATGGCAACAGTGTGTGTGCAAAGTTTCAGATTGATCCAGTGAAGCATTGCAATACTGGACCATTTTGTATCAAGTCTTCCCAAATGGGCCGAATTGGTCAATTTTCAAGTACATAACTATAGAGAACATACAAAAATGATATGGTAATTCAAAATGTAAGTTTACACACACCCAGGAATGTCATACATGATGGATCATTAGCTTATACACTAACTTTCACACATCTAGATGGCCGGGCAGGGTGGGTGTGGAGCCAGAGACAGCAGGGGTTCAAACTGTAGAACCCAGTTCCTACATTTGAATATAAAAATTGATTTTATCAAACAAAACTATGCTACATTTTATCTCTGGGACCCTTAGGATGACAAATCAGAGCAAGATTAGTGAATGCTGTTGTATTTTTTTGACTTTGTTTTGTTGTACCCCATATGTAACTCTGTGTTGTTGTTTTTATCGCACTGCTTTGCTTTGTCTTGGCCAGGTCGCAGTTGTAAATGAGAACTTGTTCTCAACTGGCTTACCTGGTTAAATAAAGGTTAAATAAAATAAAATAAAAATGTAAGCACATTATTTACATTCAGAGGTGAATGTATCAAACCAGTTGCTGTGATAAGTTTGTTGTTGTTGTGCACTGTCCTCAAACAATAGCATGGAATTTATTCACTGCAATAGCTACTGTAAATTGGACAGTGCAGTTAGATTAACAATAATTTAAGCTTTCTGCCCATATAAGACATGTCTATGTCCTGGAAAGTTTGCTGTTACTTACAACAGTCATGCTAATCACATTAGCACACGTGAGCTCAACCTTCCCGTACACGGGACACCGATCCCGTAGAGGTTAAGCAAACCAGAAGGCACCATTTTTTGTTTTTTTTATGGATAGCCAGGGGAACGCTCCAACACTCAGACATCATTTACAAACAAACCATGTGTTTAGTGAGTCCGCCAGATCAGAGGCAGTAGGGATGACCAGGGATGTTCTCTTCATAAGTGTGTGAATTAGACCATTTTCCCATCCTGCTTAGCATTCAAAATGTAACTTTTGGGTGTCAGGGAAAATGTATGGAGTAAAAAGTACATAATTTTATTTAGGAATGTAGTGAAGTACAAGTAAAGGTTGTCAAAAATATAAATAGTAAAGTACAGATAACCCAAAAACTACTTTCAGGTATTTTTACTTAAGTACTTTACACCACTGTTTGTTTTCAATATCTAACATTACTCTTTCTTTTCATTTTCAGCGCACTTTAACACGTGAATATCCAGAGTATGTCAAAATTATTGAAGTCGGTCCAAGAGACGGACTTCAAAATGAAAAGGTATATATTTTCATCACAGTCACACATCTGACAACACAGCCTTATTCTAAAATTGATTAAATAAAATGTTTTCCTCATCAATTCACACACAATACCCCGTAATGACAAAGCAAAAACAGGTTTTAAGACATTTTTGCAAATTTATTAAATTTTTTTTTACAAAACTTATATACATAAGTATACAGACCCTTTGCTATGAGACTCGAAATTGAGCTCAGGTGCATCCTGTTTCCATTGATCATCCTTGATGTTTCTACAACTTGATTGGAGTCCACCTGTGGTAAATTCAATTGATTGGACATGATTTGGAAAGGCACACACCTGTCTACATAAGGTCCCACAGTTGACAGTGCATGTCAGAGCAAAAACCAAGCCATGAGGTTGAATGAATTGTCCTTAGAGCGCAGAGACAGGATTGTGTCGAGGCACAGATCTGGGGAAGACTACCAAAACATTTCTGCAACATTGAAGGTCCCCAAGAACACAGTGCCCTCCATCATTCTTAAATGGACGAAGTTTGAAACCTCCAAGACTTCCTAGAGCTGGCCGCCTGGACAAACTGAGCAATCGGGGGAGAAGGGCCTTGGTCAGGGAGGTGACCAAGAACCCCATGGTCACTCTGACAGAGCTCCAGAGTTCCTCCGTGGAGATGGGAGAACCTTCCAGAAGGACAACCATCTCTGCAACACTCCACCAATCAGGCCTTTATGGTAGAGTGGCCAGACGGAAGCCACTCCTCAGTAAAAGGCACATAACTGCCCACTTGGAGTTTGCCAAAAGGCACCTTATGGACTCTCAGATCATGAGGAAACAAGATTCTCTGGTCTGCTGAAACCAAGATTGAACTCTTTGGCCTGAATGCCAAGCCTCATGTCTGGAGGAAACCTGGCACCGTCCCTACAGTGAAGCATTGTGGTGGCAGCATCATGCTGTGGGGATGTTTTTAAGCGGCAGGGACTGGGAGACTAGTCAGGATCGAGGGAAAGATGAACGGAGCAAAGTACAGAGAGATCCTTGACGAAAACCTGCTCCAGAGATCTCAGGACCTCAGACTGGGGCGAAGGTTCACCTTCCAACAGAACAACAACCCTAAGCACACAGCCAAGACAACGCAAGAGTTTCTTCGGGACAAGTCTCTGAATGTCCTTGAGTGGCCCAACCAGAGCCCGGACTTGAACCCGATCTAACATCTCTGGAGAGACCTGAAAATAGCTGTGCAGCGACGCTCCCCATCCAACCTGACAGAGCTTGAGTGGATCTGAAGAGAAGAATGGGAGAAACTCCACAAATACAGGTGTGCCAAGCTTGTAGTGTCATACCCAAGAAGACTTGAGGCTGTAATCACTGCCAAAGGTGCTTCAACAAAACACTGAGTAAAGGGTCTGAAGAATTATGTAAATGTGATGTGGGGTATTGTGTGTAGATTGATGAGAAAAACAACAACAATTACATAACTTTTAGAATAAGGCTGTAACATGTGAAAAAAGTCAAGGGGTCTGAATACTTTCCGAATGCACTGTACATTTACAAATGAGTTGTGTTCACTACACCATTACAAACTCAATATGACATCTGAGACCTGAAAGCTTGCTTCTTTTGTGGTAAGCCCACATTTGTATTACGTAACTATCCTTTTGATTGATTCCTGGTTGATTTGATGATCCCCTTAAACATATGGATTATTTTTCTATGATTACCCCAGACATGTGTTTCACATTTTCTTCTCAAAAAATGTATTGATCAAATGAACACCAACTGCCCTTGAAATCTATGGGAAACATGACATGATTTTACCAGATGGCTCATATGTTGTATGTTTAGTATGGCTATGTCGCAACCTTATAATTCCCATATTGAAATCTGCTGTAGCTGTACAGATTGACATGATGACAAAGTCAAACTCTAGGGGTACTACATGCTTTAATTGTAGGAGATACTGTATGTTTGGAAGAAGTGGACCTAGCAGGTGAGTGCCGTAAATTACTCTGGTTGCAAAGACATTGTAGCTGAATTGCCCAGATGTCCACTCCGCATATACCTCCAATCTTGAGATGGGATCAGAATCAGATCCAGAAAGATGGGATCAGAATCAGATCCAGAAAGATGGGATCAGAATCAGATCCAGAAAGAGACGGTCTCTATGTCATTGTTTTCCAGGAAATGGTTCCGACAGGAGTCAAAATCCAGCTGATAAACATGCTCTCAGAAACAGGCCTGCCTGTGATCGAGGCCACCAGCTTTGTGTCTTCAAAGTGGGTACCACAGGTAATAACTCTTCTTTGTGTTCCCAGAAAGTTTACTGAGTGATTTATTAGGCTGTCATTGTTCTCTCCAGGACTACTGGGGGAAACCTGCTCCTCCAGTATCCCAGTTATGCCCTGGACTCGCAGATGTTTTCGGGGAAAACCTTGACAAATAGGCCTATTCCAGAACCTGTTGTTTTCCAAGCACTTTATTTCGTTTGCCTGTGTAAAATATATGACAGCTCAACTCATGAAATAAACTACAGATGTCTGTGTCATATTCTTGAGTTGTATTGAGACATATGATGTGGAGCAGCTATCTCTGCATTTCTATAAGTTTTCGCAAAACCCATATCTAGGCTACATACTAGTCTCACTTGCCAGGCGCAGGGACCTCCACCAGCAGCTGTGGGAAGAGACTATACTCTGTCGACATATTTTGTAAACATTATTTTCTATGTTGTCAAGATGGCGGACCACACTGAAGTGCTTCAAGCCATCCACAGATCTTCTCATGCTCGTTATCCTGTTCTGACACCCAACATGCACGGCTTTCAGGATGCTGTAAGCATTTCATTATTCATGCAAGAAATCACACTCTTTAAAAAGAACAGATATCTCCCCAGGCTTCTCTGATGTTTAGTGCTATATAGAGGCTGAGGGTACACTATGCCTGAGATTAACGGAGAAGTTTTAAAGTAAAATGTTTTGCATTATGTTACATCTGATAAAAAGCATGAGCTAGCGCACACCCAGAGAACATCACTTCGTGTAGAGGTGCTGACCAACGGAGAATAAACTGTAAGCTATAAAAACAAATAAAGAGAGTCGCACCCTCTATGTATAAACTCCCAGTCATTTATTGGGTAAAAAACCACCAACGTTTCGGCATCAGGTCTGAAGAAGGCACAGTAATGCCGAAACGTTGGTGGTTTCTTACCCAATAAATTACTGAGAGTTTATATAAAGAGTGTGCGACTCTCTTTATTTGTTTTTATACCATAATGTTACATCAAAATAATGTGATTACATATTCCTATGTTGCAACTTCCCTCTGTCCTGTTGAAGGTTGCAGCTGGTGCTACTGAAGTGGCCGTGTTTGGGTCTGCCTCTGAGACCTTCAGTCGGAAAAATATAAATTGCTCTATCGATGCCAGCATGCTGAGGTTGGAGGAAGTCATTTGCGCTGCTAAACAACAACAGATTCCAGTCCGTGGGTTTGTATTATTCCTTACTTTGTGCTTCTTCCCCAGTAAAAACATTTTACTTTAATATCTTGCAATCATTCCATATGCTCTATAGCTGATGTCAACCATGTACAGTTGCGGACAAATATAGTGGCACCCTTGCACTTTTCTTAATTTTTTTTCCTATTTCTTCTAAAAAAAATAAGTTGAAATTGAAAAAGCAGTTTGGTCTCCACACCATGTTATTGGATTTTCAACATTGCAGAACCAATTTTATTTTTGTAAACTTAAGTTTACTATTTTAATTTAAAAAATAAAGACGAATTGTATGGAATGGTTACTGGGGGCCTTGAACGTGTGCAAGTCATCATGAAATCAAGACTATCAATGTGTTTTGGGGTCCAATGTTCAACTCAGTGTCCAAAAACTGGGTCTCCAGCAGGACAACGAACCCAAACACACATCAAAAGCAACCATGAATGGTTCAAGAAGAAACACTGGACTCTTTGAATCAGATCCATAACCCACGGCGAGAGCTGAAAACAGCAGTTGGTGGAGGGCAACCCTCAAACATTGAAGAATTTGAGCAGTTTGCTGCTGAAGAGTGAGCCAAATTGCCAGTAGAAAGGTGCAACAAGCTCATTGAAGGCTACAAGAAGCAATTGTTGTCAGTTATCTTGGCCAAAGGCTGATCAACCAAGTACTATCTCTGGGGTGCCAGTAATTGTGTCCATGCCATTTGTCTTTATTTTCTAAATTAAACTGCAAATATAAGTTTACAAAAATAAAATTGGTTCTGCAATGTTGGAAATCCAATAACAAGGTGTGGAGAAAAAGGTTTTTGAAATGTCAACTTATTTCTTAAGAAATAGGTAAATATTTAAGTGCAAGGATGCCAATATATTTGACCAAAACTGTATGTTTATGTTGACTTTGAAAAAAATGAACTACAGTAAAATGTTTCATAGGCCTAATGTTACTCTCTCTATTAGCAAAGGTACACTCAGACAGCGCTAAATGACTCCAGAAATAATAGGTTAACAAGCAAATTTCCAGATGTGCACTGATCGTTCTATGTGTTGCTACAACTACAAGTCCAGATGGACAGTATAGAACCGCTGACATGAAGCATGTTTAAATTCTTTGGTACAGTAGCCCCCTTTCATCCAAACAACGCCGCAATGCCATGGCAACGCATCAGTTTGACACAGGCGTTCTGGCAAATGGCCTGCTGTTGGAGATGGCTTGGGCAGCACTCCCTTCCCTTGAGTCCAGCTAGAACTTTCTGGAAGTTCCGGTGGCAAACTGAGGTATCGTCTAACGGCTGCGAACCCAAGAGAAACATTTTCTACTTTTCACATGTTGTCCGCTATTTCAGGCGGTGAACGTTTCCTACACATATGGAATCGGCATATAGTTTGACAACACTCCCCTGCCTCATTTCTCACTGCTACTGTCAACAACATAACCACTACATATAACAAAATATTCAACACCAATTGGATATAAGATTTGAAGTCTATATTGCACTGGCAGTTAGTGGTTACTGAATCCAGAAAACAGAGTTATGATCTACCTTAATTCTAATGACAGATAGCATAAATGATATGAGTTTTTGACTAGAGAGAGTTAACCTTTTAGTGCAATTCACATTGTGACATTTGGCAAAGTTGGCATGTTTATGACCATGTATTAATATATGCCATGAGTGTTTATGACCCATGTATTAATATATGCCATGAGTGTTTATGATCCATGTATTAATATATGTGTGTTCATGACCCATGTATTAAAAAATGTCATGAGTGTTTATGATCCATGTATTAATATATGTGTGTTCATGACCCATGTATTAATATATGTGTGTTTATGACCCATGTATTAATATATGTGTGTTCATGACCCATGTATTAATATGAGTGTTTATGACCCATGTATTAATATATGCCATGAGTGTTTATGATCCATGTATTAATATATGTGTGTTCATGACCCATGTATTAATATATGCCATGAGTGTTTATGATCCATGTATTAATATATGTGTGTTCATGACCCATGTATTAATATATGTGTGTTTATGACCCATGTATTAATATATGTGTGTTCATGACCCATGTATTAATATATGAGTGTTTATGACCCATGTATTAATATATGTGTGTTCATGACCCATATATTAATATATGCCATGAGTGTTTATATTTACCATGTATGTTTGTTCTCTTTTAGATATGTTTCTTGTGCACTAGGATGTCCATACGAGGGACCCATTGAACCCACTAAAGTTACAGAGGTAAGACAACACTTCTGCATTGCCTTCTTCTGTGAATAATGTAGACTTTATATGTGGGTCGCTCCACGATATTAGTCCCTTTTGGCTCGTGTAACTTGGTGAAAAAAAACAATGTTTTATTCAACGTTCAACTTAATAAAAAACGTTTTCCCATCTCAAGATAAATAAAACAATTACTATAGTACGTGCCTATTAAGTGCCAAATAAAATAACAGGGTTGACCGTAACAGGGTTGACGATTTAATCTTAAATCAGCCATAAATCCCCTTGTGACAGGGGAAATGGAAGCTTGTTGTGTGCAACAGGGAGTGGCAATTGAATGCAAGCTTCACAAAGAAAATGTAATTGTGCAAACATTTCTTGTCAATTGTACACTGGAGTTGCTTACCAAGAAGACATTGAATGTTCCTGAGTGGCCTAGTTACAGTTTTGACTTAAATCGGTTTGAAAATTGGCTGTCTAGCAATGATCAACAATCAACTTGACAGAGCTTGAAGAATTTCCAAACGAATAATAGGCACATATTGTACAATCCAGGTGTGCAAAGCTCTTAGAGACTCTTAACTGTAATCACCACCAAAGTCGGGGTACTGTGTGTAGATGGGTGAGAAAAAAAATCAATTTGGAATTCAGGCTGTAACACAACAAAATGTGGAATACGTCAAGTGGTATGAATACTTTCTGAAGGCACTGTATAGTAAAGAGCACTTCATTTCATATATCAGGCTTTTAAAATTAAATATTAGTGTACAATTTCTACTTAAAATATGAAAGGGACCAAATAGGGATTCATTTCGTGTACATGTAATCTAAACAAAGGACTGTTTTCCTTTTCTCGACAAATGAAAAAACATTCATATGTCTGTAATGCTGTAAGTACAGCATACACAGTTCTTATCAAGCGAAAGAGCTCTGAGCTCCTGCCCGTTGATGTTTCCAAGGGACTTGTTATGATAAATTGCTCTATTCTTGGCTATAGGTGGTCAAGCGGTTGTATGAACTGGGCTGCTATGAGGTGTCTCTGGGGGATACTACCGGTGTGGGCACCCCAGGTTCCATGGCCAAGATGCTGCACTGCGTCATGAAGGAGGTACCCAGCAGCGCTCTGGCCGTTCACTGCCACGACACCTACGGCCAGGCTCTGGCCAACATCCTAACTGCACTGCAGGTAACGAGCTAACAGCTAACATTCAAGCACAATATGGGCACTATGGTTGTTTCAAAAGCCCCTGACAATCTAGGGTATGAGTAATCTGTAGTAAAACGTTACTGAAAGGCTGCATGGTAAACCTTCATGACACATTACATAACAATGTGGTAAAGGGACATTATGAAGTGATCCAAGATAGTACAAATGTTGGATCTTCATTTGAGCCAGTTTGCTACAGCAGGAAAATAATCCTGTAACAACAGGAAATGTGAACTATTATGTGGATTATAATTAATGGGCATTTTTGTAAGGGTTGATACACTTTTCGTAAGGGAAAGTCTGACATTTCAAAGTGGAAATTACACTCAACTACACTACACGTTTTACATTTCCTACATTGCAGGAAAGTTCTCTCATCAAATGAAAGTTCTACATCTGCATTACAGTATGAATGCTTTTGCGTGCCAAACGTCTTGTGTGCTCGGTTTGTTTTGTGAGAATTGAGGAGGCATTGTGAAGGGGGTCCACACAAAGGCTCACCTATCTGGTGTCTGTTTCACATGACAGTGCCCTGGCCTTGAAAAAGGTACTGAGTGCGAGGGGAGGAAACAGCCAGCCCTGAGGGACTCCGAACTCATCTGCTGCTTGGCTGTTGCACTATCTGACAGTGCTGCACTTAAAAGGCACGGGGAAAATTATCCTATCATTGGCCCGCATGAAACACATGGCAAATGGAGAAGGCGAAAGAAACCCGTCCAGACCAGTAACTATGTAACCGAGACAGGGAGAATGCAGTGACTATCGCTGGATTCATTGAGAAATCGAGAGCTTGGGACTATAAGGTTCTATCTGCAAAAAGATGATTCTGAGATAATTGGCTTCAAAGTTTCGAACTCTCATTGGTTTGAATGGTGTCAGCAATTCTAATATTGTATTATTTTGAACTTAACAACATGAATTGGGGTATTTAGAGTACTATATAGGTAGAGGGCATTGAACAGAACAAGACTATGTCATTTTGACAAAAATGCAGATAGAACCTTATAGTCCCAAGCTCCCGAAATGTAAGACTCATGGTAAGACATTTAGAAAAAGTCTAAATGTCAAGAAAAAAGGCATCATTCACTTAAGATAATCTCTGACAATTTTCATTGTTTCATTGTGTTGCAATCCCACTTACCCTAAATAACCCAAAGTCTGCATAACTGTTATCACCGATTCATGGCTTTACTTAAGAATTTATATACACAGCAAATTCTCCAGTGTTAAATTAACACTGACAGTGTTACATTTAACACTGGTCCAGCGTCTATGCATTTCCACACTTTTCAGTGTTAAATTAACACAGTGCTTAGTCTAAAGCCTTATTTGCATAAAAACATAGATATTGAAACAAACAATTCTAAAAATCAACCTGCAATAGAGCATGCTGGGAAATTTGATAATGATGGCCATGGTTTTGGTTTAACACTGGTTATTAACACCGACACTTGGGTTCTTTTACAACAATTAGTGTTAATTTAACACTTACAGAGTTAATTTTAATCCTGAATCAACACTAGAAATGTTACACTGAAAAATGTACACTATTTAACACTGGCCAATTTGCTGTGTACTTCCATGCTCAAGGAATTGTACATGTTCATAAAACAGCTTTCTGTTTTGCATTTAAACAAATAACCTTTCAGCAGATCCTGATGTTGGGCACTTTTGACAAGGGGTGAGAAGAACCAGAGGGTGGGTGAAATTCCTTTCTGTGAATCACATTGAAATTGATTTATCACAGCTGCCCCATGAACATTGAAAATAATAACAGGCGTGGATATTTAGCCAACCATTTGTTCTCCTCCCATCTCAACAACCTCAGTGGAAATGAAAGATTTTATCACAGACTTTTCATTACTGAGTGCCAGTAGTCCATGCCACCAACAGGGATAGAAATGAATTCCACTAACCCCTGTCAACCCCGTGTCAACTCTGCTTTTGTTCATGATAATGACATTCCATGCTCTTTGTACCTTTCTTTTGCAGCGTTCTGGGGTCCTTTGTTACAAACCCACCTTGGCGGGTCACACAATGACAAAGTATGTACTTGGTTTTTCAGACTTGACTGGGAAATAGATTTGATCTGGCCCAACGTTTCCATGTAAACTGCAGCTGACTTGCTGAGCTATTGATAGAACTCAGTGTAGCCTCTTGGCTGAGAATTCAAACCTGTTCTTACTCACGCTTAGCTCCTCTACACTAAGCAAAGTGAGTCCAAGCCAAAGCTCATGGACAGAGCTTTAATCTTGTGAATCTCGCTAAATACACTACATGTACAAAAGTATGTGGACATCCCTTCAAATTAGTGGATTCGGCTATTTCAGCCACACCCATTGCTGACAGGTGTATAAAATTCAAAGTGCCTCTGGAAGCAACGTCAGCACAAGAACTGTTAGTCGGGAGCTTCATGAAATGAGTTTCCATGGCCGAGCAGCCAAACACAAGCTTAAGATCACCATGCGCAATGCCAAGCGTCGGCTGGAGTGGTGTAAAGCTCGCCACCATTTGACTCTGGAGCAGTGGAAACGCGTTCTCTAGAGTGATGAATCACGCTTCACCAACTGGCAGTCCTACGGACAAATCTGGGTTTGACGGATGCCAGGAGAACGCTTCCTGCCCCAATGCATAGTGCCAACTGTAAAGTTTGGTGGAGGAGGAATAATGGTCTGGGGCTGTTTTTCATGGTTCGGGCGAAGCCCCTTAGTTCCAGTGAAGGGAAATCTTAACGCATTATAGATGATTCTGTGCTTCCAACTTTGTGGCAACAGTTTGGGGAAGGCCTGTTTCAGCATGACAATGCCCTCGTGCACAAAGCGAGGTCCATACAGAAATGGTTTGTCGAGATCGGTGTGAAAGAACACAGAGCCCTGACCTCAATCCAATCGATCACATTTTGGATGAATTGGAATGCCGACTGCGAGCCAGGCCTAATCGCCCAACATTAGTGCCCGACCTCACTAATGCTCTTGTGGCTGAATGGAAGCAAGTCCCCGCAGCAATGTTCCAACATCTAGTGGAAAGCCTTCCCAGAAGAGTGGAGGCTGTTATAGCAGCAAAGGGGGACCAACTCCATATTAATGCCCATGATTTTAGAATGAGATGTTCGACGAGCAGGTCTCCACATACTTTTGTCATGTAGTGTATTTACAGAGTGGAAAGTATGGATGTTATTCTGATAATGGGTGTAAGTCGGTCAGTAAAGGGACACTATTCCATCTTGTCCAATACATCTAAATACTCAGATCAGTGTTTTCCCAATGGTGGCTTGAGAGACCCACTAATGGGTTGTACTGTAGCTAAATCCAGCTGGGTAGTGGATTGTGACAGGGTTTTATATAGAGATGTTTCTGTTCACTTGTGGCATACAAGAAACCTCACAAAGCTTTAGATGATCCCAGAACCAAAATGTTTTGGAACCACTGGTGACAGAGACAAAGTTGGAATTAGGATAAGAATGTTTCGTAATCATGGTCATGACAAATCAAACAGGCATGTTGTCCAATAAACCTAGGGTTTTGAGTTAAACCATGCAATCCAGAAGACATTACATTTGAGCTGTGTAGGTGTAATGTTGAGTGTCATTAAAGTGAAGTGAGATGTGTGTAAAGACTTGTCAGTGGTATACAACTCAGCCTATTTTCAACAAAATGACTAAACATTTAGACAGGTTCATCCATGCAGTTTGATGGTTGATTACTAAAGCCTTACTCAAAGGTCAAGGAGCAAAGTCTCTAAAGTAATGAGTGTTAACATTAGTTTAATGTTATTGACTCTTCAAACAAATGGTTGTTGACATATGAACAAAGGGAGTCTTGCCCAAAGGGAGTCTCTTTTCCAGAGAATTTGGAACGCTCACGTTGTGCAGTCTTAGCAATGTTTAGTGCTCTAGCTAGCTAGCCTACAGCACCGCATATGACAATACTTTAACCTTTCCCTAAAAATGACTTCTGGAAATTTGGCAACATTGCCAACATGACAGGCTAGAAGGAACTCCCATTTAATTGCCTGCTGAGGATATTAGCTTATTAGAAAAGGCCTGTGCACCAGAGTGTGGTGCAGGTGTCAGTGTATGTGCCAGGTAACCATAGTGATGAAAGCCAGTAACTTGGATGGAAAATATTCCTCTCCGCGTGCGCTTAAGCTCAAGACAACGCTGCCCTGGGCATGGTCACTTTAGAACATGAGTACACAAATAAATGGTGCCTTATTAGAGAGTAAAACACTATCAATTAATCAACCTTAGGTCGACATGAGGTGTCTGCTGTGTCTCAAGGAGGAAAATATATTTTAATATTCTGAAAACCATGCATCTCAAAGAAAACTACAAAAGGATAGATTGGCACAGGAATTGGTGCAGCCCATGAGGCAGGTGAAATTAGTATTTCTTGAATTTAGTATTACTTACTCCTTCAGCTCACTGTACAAACATTGGTAGTCAAATGCTTTGAGTGGTTTATACTGTAACTGAGGGGTGCTTTCTTTAAGAGTGAGGTCTCTACTTGGCCAATGACCTCCATGGTCTGACTAGACAATAGAAGGTTTTCATGCTTTAAGGTTAAAATTCCCCTCTTTTCATTTCTGAGTAATCCATTTATGTTTTTCTGTCTACCTCCCTATTACCCACAAATATCAAGGAAGAGGTTGTGGCTTTACAGTGACAGGACAGTTTATTTATTGCTGGAAAGGGCTGTCCCAGGTTAGAAATTTGTCAGCCTTGTGAGTTACCATTGAATACAATCTCCTTCAGTTCCACAGTTTATGTAGAGAAATGTCAAGGCTGTTTTGGCGAAACCTTGCTGCCTCAAACACTTCAATGAACATGCCCTTTCTGCCCCAAGTGACGCACGGCCGCACTTAAAACAAACAATACTGGACAAGAGTGTGGCAATCTCTCAAGTTGTTCACTTACAGTAAATTAGCCGCCTTCCGTAATTCCATATCATGTGCTGTGAACAGCCCGAGCACACACT